CGAACTCACAGAGATCCGCTTGCCTCTGCCTCCCAAGTGCTGGGATTCAAGGTGGAGTTTTTCTGTGTCTGGGTAGCTGTTTCCCAAATAACCACTCAGAGTCTTACTATTAATTAGTAGTCCTGGAAGTCTCTTTGTAGACCAGGCTGGCCTCAAACTCAGAGATCTGCCTGTCTCTGCCTCTCAAGTGCCGGGATAAAAGGTGTGCACCACCCCTGCTCAGCTAGATATTGTTTTAAGAAGAAAAAAGAATGGTTCGGGCTGAAGCTAAAACCAGAACCTAGTATGGAAGTGGGTTTATAAGAGATCCAAGACTGGTCAATTGCCATACCTCGATAGAGCAACCCGTTCTTCTAGGCGAGTCGTCCACATGAGGCAACCCTGGTCTTTCAAAACAAAACCACACAGGAGCTGCAGCAAGAATTCAACTCAGTATAGTGTTTCTGGCAGAAAGAGGTTGTGGAATCTGCTCTCCAAAGATCACCCTGAATGTGCCCAGGGCTCAGCATGCCTGACCTGAGTCCCCAGTGTGTCTGGGTAAGCAATTCCAAAAGGCTGAACTGACCAAACTAGGTCACAAGAATTCTGGAGCCTCTGCCTTGTTTCTCACAGAATGCTAGCTCACTTGCTCTGGAGACATTCTGCTTTACTACGATGTCATACTGGGAGATATTCAAGTCACATGTAGAGGCTGTCCTAAACAGCCTGAGTTTTCACAGTTTTCTACAGAGTGAGTTCCAGGACTGTTAAAGAGACCCTGCCTCCAAAAAACAAAAAACCAAACTGAACCAAAAAGCCAAAGGGTCCTGTGCCTGGCATGTCTGCCTGTACATGATTACTCCCGTCTTCCTCTTGCCATGGTAGTTCTGCTCCTTGCTGTGGTAGTTACATATGCACCCCCACAATCACAGTACCAGCCTGGAACAATTTGAGGAAAAGGTTGGTTTTGGTTTTGCTTTTTTTTTTTTTTTTGGCTCACATTTTCAGAGGGTCTCAGTGTGTTGTGGGAAGGGAGGCATGGCAAAGCCTTTATGTCATGTTAGAAGTGTGTATTACGGCTGTTCACGCCACTGGTGACCAGGGAAATAGAGGGCAAGGGCTGAGTATAACCTTCAGAGACCCATCCCAAGTGACTTACTTGTGCCAACTCGACCCAACCCTCCTAAAGTTTCACAACACCCCCAAACAGTACCTCAAAACATGAACTTGTCAGGAACACTGCAGAGTCAAAGCCCGGCATCCCTGATTCCACACACCCACGGTGGAGTTGAATACAAATGTTCTTTCCTACAGCCCTGGGAGGACACATGAGTCAGCCCGAATTTTCAAAGTTCCACTTTCCTCTGAATATAGGGAGTGAGAGGCCCTGACCCAAGAGTCAGAGTTCTTTCTGGAACTGTCAGACCACGTTGAGAAAAGATTCCTCACTGGGTGGTTGATGTGGCACTCTGTTCCCTGGAGCTGGTATGGACAAAGTTTTCGATTAATTGCTTGGAAGGTCAATGAATGCCTTTGAAATTTAAGCTGCAGGAATTTGCTTCCTGTCACTGGCTAACCAGAGCCCTGGCTAGCATGAGTAAACCTGATAGGATTATACATACACCCGCTATAGTAATCAAGAATTGAAGGATTCATATGTGAGCTGAAATTCAGCCGTGGCTGCAGATTTGTTATTGGAAAAGAACTAAGCCTGAAGCAGCATGCTGGTGGAGTATGTATCCCTATATACTCCAGTGTGGCTGGACCAGTGGAATCTGACCCAAAAGGTGCAAAAGCAGTCTTTGGGGGCTAGGAGCCTAGGGAAGCCTTTGTTTCCTCTTCCCCACCCTCTCTGTCTGAAATGCAGAAGCCACCCTGGGAGTGCAGCAGGCATCCTGAGAGTGTGAGGGTCAAACCTCCTGCTGGAGGTGCAGGTGCTGATGGAGAAGGATGGAGCAGCCTGCTGCCTGCTGCTACTGGAGGCTGCTCTACTGGCTAACATTGCCTTTCTTCTGGCTCTCTGCACGTGAGAAAAGCTAACCTGGTCTGGTTATTGCACACAGCCAGATGTGACTCTAAGTTAGGAAATGCCCTTTGCCCATTATATTCAAAGTTCTTGGAATTTTGGATCAAAGGGATAATATTTGGAGACTTGCTATCAATCAGGTCTGGGCTGCTATGCCAGACGTGGATCGCTGGATCCATTCCCTACCTCTGTTGCAATGATGTACATTCAGTGGCTTCAGATGACAGGTTTTTGTATTTGACACAAGTCTAGATATTAGAAATCCTTAAACCAAGGTATCAGCAGAGCTGCTTTCCTTGTAGAGGATTTAGGGACATCCATTTTGTCTTTTTAAATTTCCAGGGGCTTCCTATTTCCCTTGTCCATGTCCCCTTCTTATTCAAGGTTGGCACTGTAGCATGAGCGCACACACACACACACACATTGCTGTTGGCCTATCGCCTTTGCTTCTAACTCCCCTGTCCTTTACTTTCTCCAATGATAACATTTGTGATTCTGTGGGCCCACTGCGTCAGCCAGGCTAATCTCCCCACACTGTCGTGGGTACAACCACACCTGCAAAAGCCCCTTTTTGGCATATAAGCTAATGTATTAGCAGGTTCTGGGCATCAATATGTAGAAATTTCAAGGGTTCACTGACCTTTCTCCATTTTCCTGTTTACCTACAGAGTGACAGTGTTTTGTCCAGGTCCCACACTTTGTCCAGGTCCCACACAGAGCTAGCTGAGAGGACAGAACTGCGCAGACACACTCATCACTGGCAGAGGTGGTAGAGGTACCCTTTATCCTCCTGAGCATGAATCTAGAATCAGACATTCTTTCGAGGTCCACGTCAGACCTCCAGTGTGCTCAGAAGCCATTGCTGTCACCCATGGCCCACAGCGCCCATCCTCTTGGCTGTATCTCTGTCGCTCATTGTCACTTGGCATTCATCAGCCCAGCTGTCCCAAAGGCGTTGTTTTATCCTCTGACCATCTTGATCTCTGAAGACAAAGATAACATCTTAGGCTACTTTGCACCACAAGAACTCACTGTATGGAGTAGAGGCTTCTGGTAGATTCTTCAGTTGGACTCACTCAGCTCCTACCCCGCAGCTCCTACCCACCCTTGCAGACAAGACTGGGTGACGTCCAGCTAAGTGTTGACAGTGGAATGGCAAGCACAGGAAGGCAGGGTTGACAGTTCTTGATTCTTCTGCTTCAGCTGAGGCAGGGACTGTTCTATTAGGTCCATAGCATCTTACAAACAGGCAATGGAACAGGACTGTCAGAAGAGCAGGGCATGTCGCACTTCTCATAGCGGTGGGACTCATGGCATGTAGGACTCCATAACCTGGTTCTGCAGCTTCCACCCTCTCAGCCCCAAATCTGTAAGCTCCTTCTTGCCTGGTGTGAACACATCCTCTCTAGCTGGAGTGGCTTCTCTCGTCTCTGTCTATAGTAAAATCTAGTCTCTGGCATAGCAAATCCACTCAGGGTAGGCACTACACCTTTCTCTTGCAAACAGATCCTCCAGTGAACCCATCAAAAGAATAATGCACAACCTCATTGAAATGGGTAAAAGTTCCACCACTCTGTGGGGCTGGAAAGATGGCTCAGTGGTTAAGAGCACCGGGTGATCACTCAGAGGATCCCTGGTTCAATTCTCACGATGGCAGCTCACCATTGTCTGTAACTCCTGTTTCAGGAGATCTGACGCCCTCTTCTGGCCTCCGCAGGCACCAGACACCCATGCAGACAAAACACCCAAACACATAAATAAAATTTTTTCAAAAAAGTTTTAATATTCTGATGAATTTTTCATGCTTTCTGGGAAACAAGAGCCTAGAATGGAAGCACAATGTGGTCCCTCTCCTTTCACGCTCAAATTTCTTAAATAGAAGAAGTCATTTCCTTGTTTCAATGTTATTACTTCACAGGGGCAGTCCAGAAAACCCTTCTCTTTTTATACCAGTGTTTGTGACAAACATAACGTTAAATGAAGTGTTAGAATTCATTCGAAATTTTTGCTGATTTAACACACTGTCATTCTCCCTTTCTCCCCACTCCTGTTACTATGGTCTTTATTTTTGCTAGGCTGTCGTATGCATGCAACTTTTGGACTTTTGTTTTTCATATAATGTTAGAACAGAAGAGTTTTCCAAGGTTGTTGCCTAGCCTTTCTTCAGCCTCTCTCTCTCTCTCTCTCTCTCTCTCTCTCTCTCTCGGTATTTCAAGACAGAGTTTCCCTGGCTGTCCTGCCTGGAACTTGCTCCTTAGACCAGGCTGGTCTCAAACTCAGAGAGATCCATCTGCTTGTTTCTGCCTCCTGAGTGCTGAGATTAAAGGTGTGCGCCACCACCACCCGGCTGGTCTTTCTTTTCAACCACACATTTCTTCCAGCATCCCTGATATCTGATCTGTGTCCCTACAGTAATTTTCTTTCAGTTTGTCTTGGCATTATCATTTACACTGCAGTCATCATGTTTGCACCTGTTCCTTTAGAGTTTCCAAGGAGCGGGATTGTGCCAACTATATAACTGCTTGCAAGGTCTCCCCCTCTCTCAGTTTTGAGACAAAATCTCAGTATTGCGTTAAGGCTGGTCTTCAAGACTTAAAAATTCAATTATTTAATTAATATGAGTGTGTGCATGCACTCACGGTGCTCTGGGTACAGTGTGCAGGCATCGGTTTCCTCCTTCTGTCATATGGGTTCCGGGAATCGAACTCAGGTTGTTAGGCTTCCTGTCAAGCATTTTGACCCCAGTGGCATCTTGCTGGCTCTAGTCTCACACTCTCAGTCCTGCTTGGATTACAGGTGAGACCCATCCCTGCCGTACTGTTTTACTTTTCATTTCAATTTACCTCGCCCCGATTCTTAGGGAGGCGTTCCGAGGGACGTGTTCTCAGTTTTTCTGCTATGCCCTGTAGATTCCAGCCTCGGAGAAGGAATGCAGCCAAGCACCAGGCGAGTACACACGGTTCCGGGTTTGCACCCGGCCCGCCCAGCTGTGGACTACATTTCCCAGGCAGCACCGCGTGGAAGGCGTGGCCGCGGGGTACGGGCAACAGCGACGCCGGGTCCAGAGTGTACAGCGGGACGCGATGGCCGCGTGGGCCGAGCGGCTGGCGGGCGTGCGGGGAGTACTGCTTGACATCTCCGGCGTGCTGTACGACAGCGGCGCAGGCGGCGGAGCCGCCATTGCGGGATCTGTGGAGGCGGTGGCGAGGTTAGTGGGCTCAACGCGGGGGGTGTCGGACTTCTGTGACTGCCGGGGGCGGGGCGTTCACGCCGGCCCCGCCTCCTCGTGCACTGGTCCCGCCCTTCATGCTGGCTAGGAGCCAGGTGGTGAAGTTTGGGTTGGCGCGGCTAGGTTTCCAAGGGTTGTAGTTTTGCTTTGGAAGCAGGTGAACGGTTGAACTTGGTTAACCTGCAAATAAAATACAGATTCCAAAAGTGTAGGATATTGCAATATGTATTAGGCCAATGAGATGGCTCCATGGATAAAGGCATTCACTATTGTGACAACCTGACATCAATCCCTGGGACCCACATGGTGGAAGAAAAGACTTGACAGCTGCAAGTTGCCTTTTATCTGACCTCCACATAGTGCTCCACTCTAAAAAGAAATAAACGGAAAAGTTATTTTAAAGTATTTCATTATGTTGCTTACATGTTTAAATGACCACTTTTAATATACTAGGCTAAGTAAACTATTTTAAATGTTCCACCTGTTTCTTTTACCTTTGAAAGCTTTAAATCACGTATGTGGCTAGCCATCTAATTCTTTTGGATTGGTTTTGATTTGAGGAGGAGAAAGCATCTGGTTCTTCAAGCCTGCCCATGCAGGACCCTGCCTGCAGGGACCACAGTTGACATTAAGTCTGAGCTATTTGCCTTTGGTGTCCCTAGCCAGCTCTAGGTAATGTTGATGGAGAGTTGGAAGGGGCTTGTTGTTTAGCTAGCACTCAGTCTCCCAGAATCACTAGCTGGGATGCCCTGACCTAACTCGGATTATTTATTTACCGGTAGTTAAGTAAATCGTTTGATCCCAAGAGGCCCTCCCCTACCTCTCCCTTCTCTCTCTCTCTCTCTCTCTCTCTCTCTCTCTCTCTCTCTCTCTCTCTCTCTCTCCTGTGTGTGTGGGGGGGCGGATAGCATTGGTGAGGTGACAAGGACTCCAGCTGTGTTTTGTAGCAAAGTCAAAGGGGCTTGGGAAGGACGTCTGCTCCTAGGAAGCACCTGCGACCTCTGTGTGAGCAGAGGTCTAGGTTTACCTGTTCTTCTGGTCTCAATATATTCTCCACTGACCCCAGAACGTAGGACTGGCTGTGTGACAGTGAGCCTTGTAGGTCGGTCATTATGTGGCGGCCCCTTTTGGAACGCAGTCAGGCACTGGACAGTGCTTTGAAGTGAAGTTCCTTCATGTAGGCAACCTTAGGAGATCTCATCTGAAGGGAAGGTAGATCATATTTTGGGCTCAAATGAATAAATGAGTCACTGTAGATCAGAAGTGAAGATGTTTCTAAGGTATACAAGCCAAGAAATAGTGCCACCCACAGTGGGTAAGTCTTCCCACTTTAAGTAACAAATGGAGATAGTCTACCCACAGACATGCCCAGATGCTGTCTCCTGGATGATTCTAGATCTCATCAAGTTGACAGTTGAGATTACCCCTGTCACAAACATGTACACACACACACATGAACTTGTACACATGTACAAACAAGTACAATGAAAATGAGATTTCCTTTGGCAAGAGAGCCTCAGAATGTATAAATAAAAAAATCAGCAGTTGAGCTGGAGTAAGGACCAATGACGTAATCATTCACCAGGGCAAAAACCAACAGTGACCTCCTAAGCATATGAAAGACCTCCTACCTGGTCACATTAGAAACACAAATTAAGGGGCTGGAGAGATGGCTCAGCGGTTAAGAGCCCTGACTGATCTTCCAGAGGTCCAGAGTTCAATTTCCAGCAACCACATGGTGACACAACCATCCCTCATGGGATCTGGCGCCCTCCTCTGGCCTACAGGCATGCATTGCCTGGTGTAAATTCTGCATCTAGGAAATATTCATATTGTGCATGTAACTCCCAATTCATTTCACTCTCTTGTGTAACCAGCATCTCAGAAAACTCCCTTGACACTCCCCAGCCCAGGGCAACCACTGCTTTGCCCTCTAGTCCTGAAGGTTAATTTTGCTTGTGAATCTGGATATTGTGGGGCCAGAAAGAACAGGAAGTGAAGGAGAGTCATGGCAGCAGGGCCTTGAGGAGGCAGCTAGTCACGTGACTTCTGCAGTCAAGAAATCACAGAGTGTGTTTCCCGTTTATGACTGTCCCTTTTGCCTGCTATCACTTGTGAGAGATTTGTTGTAGTTGTGGACAGTGGTTTGTAGATGGTTTGATTGTGTTACTAAGCTTGGTTCTATGGAGTGATGACTTACTGTTCTACTGTGAAGAGACACCATGACCAAAGCAACTTATAAAGGAACACAATTAACTGGGGGATTGCTTATGGTTTCAGAGGGTGACTCTATGACCATCAATCATGGGGAACACGGCAGCAGGCAGGCAGGTGGGCAGGCCTGGTGCTGGAGCAGAAGCTGAGAGCTTACCTGTGATCCACAAGTATGAGGCAGAGAGAACTACCTGGGAATAGCGCGGGCACAAAGGCCCACCCCCATGACACACCTCCTCCAACAAAGCCACATCTCCTACTCCTTCCTAAACAGTTGCGCTGACTGGGAACCAAGCACTCCAATATATGAGCTTGTTGCGGGGGGTGGGGGAGGCGCATTCATTTTCAGACCTCCACAAATGAGGGCACATTTGTGCACCCCTATCTTTCCCATTTGGGTTATTGCAGCTGGTGTTTTGGGGACCATGTGACTGTGTTCCTACAGGGTGTGCATGCATGGGATGTGGGAGTGTCTGAGTGGAGGAGTTGAATTACAAGGCAGGAGTGTGTTTAACAAGCGATCGCCACCTCTGCCAGCTCCACAGCCTTTGGTGTGTTTGAGGACCGTTATCACAGGCTGCTACATGTCCGTATCACCATGCGGGAGTCACCCCTGCTATGCAAGCCTGCAGGGGTCAAAACAAATTTCTTTACATTTTTATTTATGTGTATGGGTGTTTTGCCTGTATATATATATATATCTGTTTGAGGATGGCAGGGACCTTGGAACTGGAGTTACAGACTGTTGTGAGCTGCCCTGTGGGTGCTGGGAATTGAACCCAAGTCCTCTGGAAGAGCAGCCAGTGCTCTTACTTAACCGCTGAGGCACCTCTTCAGCCCCTTTAATTCTTTTTTATAAAAGATTTATTTTATGTGTATGAGTGTTTGCTGGCATGTATGTCTGTGCACATGTGTGCTTGGTGCCTGCAGAGGTCGGAAGGAGGACATCCCCTGGAACTGGGGTTATGGATGGGCTGTGAGCCACTAGATGGGTATTGGGAACTGAGCCACGATGTGGATGCTGGGAACTGAACCCTGGTCCTCTGCAAGAGCAACAAGTGCTCTTAATCACTAAGCCATCTCTCCAGCCCTTAAACTCATCTTAGCAAAGCCTTCCTGGGACCAGTCAGTCATAAGCCTCAGAACCCACAGAGTCTGCCGGGATCCTTCCCATCACCGTCTGTCTTTGCACCCTTTTCTTGGACAGCACTATGTCAGGATAGGCGAGCCTCCTTTCCAGAAGCCTGTGGGATTATTCTTGTTGAGGGGACAAGGAACCCAAATGACTGACAGTCTCTGAACTCCCTGGCTTCCTTGCTACTGGACCAAGTCCCTAAATCTGTGCCTGGTCCACTGGAGCGTCTCAAGTGACCTTTGGCTCTCTCATGACTGATGTTTCTTTTCTTACCTCATTTCTTCTGTGGGTTTTTGCTGAGCCGTCTTCCAAGCAGCCCTGGCCTCTATAATGCCAACCCTTCCTGCTCAGGCCTAGGGCAGCCCCACAGGCCCTCCCTTCTCGGTGACAGGTGCAGAGGCTTAGGGGTAAGAGATTTTTGCCCTCTGTTAAAACACACCTGCTTTTGAAGTTTTCTGGGGATTTTCCTCTCTGGGTAGCGGAGCCAACACTGGCCTCTCCCAGAACCCTTCACAGATGGGTGCAGCTTGCCAGGGTACACAGCTGGGCATCCAGCTGGCTTGTGTGGCCTTGGCAGCATTTTCCACCTTTCCCTCTGTGACCCCCCTTGAAGTACAGTGCTCCCTTTGAAGTTCTGCAGGAGTTCAAAGGAAGTTCCTGGGGTGAGACCCACTGTGGCAGGGGCTGGATGGGACCTGGGGGAACGCGCACTTCCCTGGCAGCTTCCCGGCACAGGGGCTACAAGGCAGCATCTTAAATTTTAAAGCCTAGTAGGGGATGGCTCACTGTCTCCCATTATTCTGTCTGGGTGTCCTGTTGTAAGCCTTTTGATGTTGTTGTTTGTTTGTTTTTTTACACTACCTAGAAAGTTCCCACTTATGGAGGGGGGACAGAAAGCACAGGAAGAAGGTCAACTTACTTTGAAAATGGGACCAACTATAGTAAGAAGCCTCACGTGAAGGGGGCCTGTCAGGAGCCGGGCAGGCACTCCCTTTCTAGAATGAGGGCTGAGGGCTTGAAAAGGCGGAAGCGAGGCTGAGTTCTTATTAAAAACGGATGACTGAGCACATCCACCCACACAGCCGGCGAACATCCACCCACACACCCGGGGAACATCCCCCCACACACCAGGCAAACATTTGTTGGACGCCTGCAGTGTGCCGGGAACCCTGCTCTAGACCTGGAGAGTTTATGATGGCGAGCCAGGTGTCTAGAAACCAGGGCCCTGGCAGAGCCAGCGTGGCAGTGCCAGGAGACCAGACTTGCCCTAAGCAGGCTCGTCTGCTAAGTAGAGAAAGCCTGGACTGTGAAGAGGTCCAGGGCTGCAGGTGCTCATGGGCCTTACAGGTCCCATGGGCATTGAATTGAGATCGAGAGAGACAAACCTAAGAACATCCCATATGGAAGAAGGGGGCAGCTTTGCCCTTCCCATGCGGTGTCTCCCCCGATGGACCCCAACCCCTGCTACCCACTTAGTCCTGCAAGCTGCTGGGTGGGGCCCACTGACTGCTGTAGGACTTGTGGGCAGGTGTGGCCATCTGTAACCCGCCTGGGTCCCTCCATTTATTGGAGCCCATTTGTGGTCAGATAGGGCTCCCTGAGGGGAAGCATTCAGAGGCAGGCTGGGCACAGCAGGGGCTGCCGCACAAAGGCCCTGGTGGCTGGGCAGGCCCTGGCGAGGGCCCCCAAGGCATCTGCATGTGAAAGGTGATGCGCATTTACTGCATCCTGTGGAAGGCCACTAAAAAGCACATCTGCCGGGCCAGCCTAGCCCACGCTGGCCTTTTGGGAGCCGGCGGAAGGAAGCAGGCTCGGCCTCAGACCAGGGCAGTCTCATAAAGCAATTCCCACCCAGGATGGTGAGCCAGACTCACAGGCCAGCCCTCCAGATGGCCCTTCTCGATCCTGAGGGGGAACAGAAATATCGGGGACCCTAGGGAAATCCAGATGCCATACAGACAGTCTTGGTGCAGCAGCAAGTGATTGGGCCAGGGCAGCTCTGAAATCTGGCTGGCCCTCGGACCCCCTCAGAGCTCAGCTGCCTTTACAGCATCCAGCCACGAGGCACAGTTCCTAGGAGTAGCCATAATAATGCAGACGGCAACCCAGGCCAAGCGCTTCCTCTCAGTCCCACCTGTGGGCCGGGCTAGCCAGGGAGTCAGCTGGGGAAGGCTCCCACAGGCCTTGGGCAAGGGGGTCTCTGCTCTGACCTTGGGTGAGGGCTGTTGGTACTGACTGAGCTCCTATACATGGCCCTTTGCTGTCCTGAGATGAGCCATGGTGGGGGAGGGCATGGCCCAGAGCAGCCTGTTCTTTATCCTGGGTTCTGGGTTTTCTGTTTTGTAATGTCAACACTTGAAGTTTCATAACATAGATGACTTCCTTTTGTAAATGTTCCTGCCAGCCCTTGATTCAGAGAAAAGTTGAAGGCCTCTGTCATCAGCCTGTCCCAATAACTGCCTCAGATTGACCCCGTGGGTCTTCCAGCCCCTTGCTTTTGCGTTCCCCCAAAGCACAGAGGTTTTGTGATAGAGCCCACTCCTTCTCCTGATCTTTGCAGCCCCCAGGGCAGATGCCCATCACACTGCACACTGCCCATCACACTGCACACTGCCCGTCACACTGCACACTGACTGTCACACTGCGCACTGTCCATCACACTGCACACTGCCCATCACACTGTACTGCCCACCACACTGTACTGCCCATCACACTGCGCACTGCCCATCACACTGCGCACTGCCCGTCACACTGCGCACTGCCCGCAACACTGGGCACTGCCCACCACACTGCATACTGCCCATCACACTAGGCACTGCCCACTACACTGTGCACTGCCCATCGCACTGCCCATCGCACTGCCCATCACACTGTGCACTGCCCATCACACTGCACTGCTTTGCCCTGTCCTCCCAACTCTATGTTCAACCAAAGAGTGGGGATTTTAACTCTTTATTGCCCTCAGAACAATTTTTTTGTGAGGGAGGGTGGGAATTTGAGACAGGGTTTGTCTGTGTAGATCTGCCTGTGCTGGAACTCACTCTGTAAACCAGGCTGTCCTTGAACTCAGAGACCCTCCTGCCTCTGCTGGGGTTAAAGGTGAGTACTACCACCGCCTGACCATTATAATACCTTTTTAAAAATGATTTTATGGTTTTATTTATTTTACATTGTGCGTGTGTGTGTGTGCACGCGTGCGCTCACATGTGTGCACCAGCCCACAAGCAGAGGTGAGATGGTAACTTGCAGGAATCAGTTCTCTTTCCACCGTGTGAGTCCTAGGGATCAAATTCAGGTGACCACTCTTGGCAGCAAACTTCCTGATGTCTGAGCCAGTTCATCTTCCCTTATTTGTTTATTTTTCTTTTCTTCTTTTTTTTTTTGAGATAACGATTTTCCTATGTTGCCCAGAACATAGGGAGACCGGAACTGCTGGGCTCAAGAGTATTGCCCTGCTCCCGTCTCCTCAGAGCACGGTTCAGCACAGTTCTCAGCCTCCCTAATGCTGCCACCCTTTGATACAGTTCCTCACGTTGTGTTGACTCCTGCCATAAAATTATGTCGTTGCTATTTCATACCTGTGATTTTTCTGCTGTTATGAATAGTAATATACCAAAGGGTTCGTGACCCCCCAGGTTGTGAACCATTGCCCTAGAGGTTGGGATTCTGTGTGTTCACCCCTGTGCCAGACTATTATGCCATCTTTTCAAAGACAAAATAGGCCAAGCAGTGATGGCGCACGCCTTTAATCCAGCACTCAGGAGCCAGAGGGAGGTGGATCTCTTTGAGTTCCAGGACAGCCAGGACTATTACACAGAGAAACTCTGTTGAAAAGCCAAGAAATAAAAAAGTACAGAGTAAATACAACAACCCTAGTCCATCCTGACTGGTGTCATAATTGATTCATGAACCTGAACTTGGTGGAGGGAGGTGGAGAGGTTTAGGTGAATGTGGAAGGCTGGAACCACAGCTCTGTCTTCAGTAGTAAGATTTGTTGTCTGGGTTGTGATCTCACGTGGGCGGGGGCATCCCTAGAAGTCAAGGCAGCCTGTGTGAGTGTGGTGGAGCAGGGTTACTGCTCTCCTTTAGTGTGGCACAGTAACCTGTGAGGCTCACTTTGGAAGTCATAGATGGAGAAGTTCTCTGGCACTGCTCAGGGTTATGAGAGGGGTAGGGTGGCTTCTCATACCCTTGAGAACAGTACAGATGCCAACCAGCATATAGAGGAGGAATCTGAGGGAGATGGCGAAACTTACATATCTCACAAGAAGGGGTGGGGTTTGATGGCCACACCCAGCAGGTGCCACCTTTTACCTGCCACCAAAGAAGTGATAGGTGTCAGAGCCAGGGGATGAAAGCCTGGGTTTCCAATCCCAGCTCTGCCCCACAGCTGGGGTGTGGGCGTAGGCCAGGTTCCTTAGCCTTTCTGTGCCTCAGTTCTCTGCCTGTAATGCTGCGTGGTGAGGCGAAAGAATTAGGTGAGGGATTTTCTCTGTCGTCAACGTTTGACGTAACCATAGGCACTCCATGGACGGTATGCTGTCAGGTGGAGAACCTGGGACGAGGGGTCGCTTCCCTGAAGAGCAGCGTCTTTCAGTTATAGAGCTTGGTTCCTATTCAAAGTCAAAGCATTCTGTTCTACCCAAGGCCAAGCAGGAAGGGCTGCTGTCCTGGCTTTGCCCTGGTAGGTCTCTCAGCATCCTCCCGCAGGTCCCCATCTGTGAGTGGGACCCCCATCGCTCAGAATGTCATGGGATGCACATGTTACCGGGTGCTGCCAGTAGTTGTCGAAGGGGTGTGTCTCTCCATCCTCCGGACTTGAGGACACCTATCAAGTCTTGAAGCTTCTTCTCCCCAATAGAACTCCGTCCCCCTGGTCCTGTTTCACTGAAAAAGCCCTGCCTTCCTATTGGACAGCACCTGCCTGAAAGGCTGAGATGCCCAGCCCCAGCACAGGTCACCCTCTAGTCATCACTGTCTCTTACTGTTGAGTATTTGTTAAGTTTGCCTCATTCTTCCCAGAATCAACAGCCCTATCTGGTAGCTGTTGTGAGTGCCTTGCTGAAATGAGGAACCTGGGGTTTGAGAGGCTTAGGCAACAACCTGCAGAACACATAGGGAAGCGTGCTTACGTTCTGAGCCTGGTTTCCACCATGCCCTTGGGATGCTTGGCCCTGAACAGTCTGGCTTGCTCAAGGCTGCCAGTGCTTGGGGATGAGTGCCCACCAGCTGAGCTTGCAGGTCTGAAGAGTGGGACTTGTGCCCCATGGATATCCCCAGCATGCTTCATCTGCCTCAGTGTCCCCTCTGTGTGATCCACTTGGGTCAGGGTCACCAGGGTTTCTCCGGTTACCGAGTCTTATATACTTGACTCAAGTATTTGTCAATTGCTATGAGATCGATGCTCTGGCCTTGGCGTGTCCCTGTGATCTGAGTTCAAGCACGTCACAGAGAACACA